ATCTTAACACTAAGACCTGCTATTTATAACAATCAAACATAACTGCCATTAACGACTAACAAATGAAATCAAGACAAGTGTCATTGTGCATGCCTTTTAATCATAAGGGCACTCACGTGTCTTTCTTAAAACGGACTTTCCCTCTTTTATTTGAATTTAAACGAACTCGCCGAAATACCCCTAGCAACGCTTCTATCGAATCAGGTCTTCCAACTGCTGAGAAATATCTCTAAGTCCATAACATAGACTCTCCTAGCGAAAGGACGCGTTCGACTCTCATTTCAAAACGTGGCTCTAGTCGAAGTGGTTAGATTTCTTCAGGGAACTCTATTTTTTACTTTTATCTTCATTCAGGCGTCGAAATTAGAAGCCAACAGTTCCAGAACTCAAGCGAAATTTGTTATCTATAAGTACATTTGATGATCTAGGCTATTGTACTAGAGTTGAACGTGGAGTGTTAAAGATTTCACATGATGAATTAATTATTACTAAAGGGTCTAAAATATGTGGTCTATATATTTTAGAAGGTTTAAATGTTATTATTCATTCATCGTTAACTAGTAGAGGCTTTCATGACTAGGAAGAGCTATGGGATTTGAGTTTAAGGCGTTATGAATACCTTGAGAAAGTTTCAGAGGAGTACAATGAATTTTGCATAAATCAAGGGATAAAAATGCATGTCATCACTGAGTTGTTATTGAGTTTTTAGGGAAGAGCTGAGGTTAAAATAACTTACTTGGTTGATAGAGAATTTCCTCAGAAGAAGAATAGTGAAAACCAAGGGAGAAACCTGGGAGAAATTATAACAGAGAAAACTCAATTTGAGATGGAGTTTCCTACTATGGATGCTAGCAGTAGTGAGGGAACCGTTACATAGATCTCTGATTATAATTTGTTATTTTGTTATGTCAGCAAGAAGATGTCCAACACAACGGCGAGATAATATGATCTAAAAATAGAGATGAACAAATAAACAAAACACAAAGTAAATAACACATATAATTTGTAACCTAGTTCATTGAAACATAGCCTACATTTGAAGGGTTGTAATGCAAATGAAATCAAATTCACTAATTCAAGTAGTCAATATTACACTAAGGTCTCATCTGAACTCTCCCAATTCATTACCCTTTTCCTAATACTACTTGTGAATTTCAACTCTGGCTCCCCCTAAATTTGAGATCCCTTCACTTTCACTCAAATACTCCCTAATTGTTTGCAAGAAAATAATTATAATAAAATGACTCAAATCACAGTTACATACTCTATCTTTCTAAAATAAGAAATACTTTAAAGATAAAGTATTACACAAGATAACATGAAGAATCTACTAAACTCAAAAGGACAAAGTGTTGAAAATAAACGATGAAAAGGGAAAGACAATGAATCATGTATTTAAGGGGTACTTTTTTCCTCATATAACAAAAAGGTATTAAAAGGGTGATCGTCGTTATGGTCTATAGGGTCATAAACATCATTACGATGGCATAACATCAAACTCTTATTGCAAGTCTACAAAAGGACTAATGGCCCAAATAATTTGGACATTCCCCAGACAACTTTCATCATTGCATTGCATTAAATCCCTGATTCCAAAATCCAATTTTCACTCTTATTCAAATTTCAACTTCAATATCATAAAAAATCACGACTAAAAATCAAAGTAGACCATGTGCATCAATAAACGCCTAAATCACATCGTCATTGTAGTACTCATGCTTGAGGGACTGTGGGATGGAATGTCCTACCTTAATTAATTCACACTTACAAGCTTCATGCTTGAAGGATCGTGGACTAGAATGTCATACGTTAACCACTTCGCCCTTACATGCTATGTGCTTTATGGAATGCTAATTGAGATATCTTTGATAGAGTCCCCAAAGGGCTCGACCCACCAGCTCTCCATCGTTTAAGTAACTGAGTGAGTACTTGGGTAGTGGATTGTGAGATCACATGGCAACTATGTGATCTAACCAGACTCATTCCCTTTCATTGGAGGACATGGTATGCGACATACTAAGTACGAGAAAATTTATCTCCAGCGATGTGATATTGCCAAGTGAAAAACACGTTGCTAAAAAAGAACGTTGTGATGTGACATTTACATCGCAAACCGCACTACTGATGTTGTATTTTCGCAAGTATACGAATATCGTCAGAGTAATATAAAAGATTATCGATCCCACATAGACCAAACGTCAATCTATCAATTTCTATTGTTACGATGTTTATCTAAGACAAATCAATTGGGAGTTCGTGAGTGCAATGTAAAAGTAAAGTACGAAAATATAAAATTCAATTTAAAACAACAGGCTTGAATGTAATTCACACAGCCGAGTAGTATCCCAAATGCTTGTAAATAGAACTTCTAATGGGGTAATGTTTTCTACTTATGAAAAAAACTAATTTAACGGGAACTGTCGCTTTTGCGTATTCAGAACCGAGTTTATCCCTTAATTAAACCCTCTTATTGTCACTTATAAAAAGGCGCGCATTGCGATCTTACCCAACAGAAATAAAGTGCAAAAAACGCGTCTTAAAAATCAGAATAACCCCTAAGTGTTTCTATGGACAATTTGTATGGAATACTACTTTAACTATGATCCTTACATTCTAACCTTTAAAATTTAGCCGGACATGGAAATGTAAATAGACATGTTAAGTAATGCGGAAAAGTAAATATTGCGAGAAAGTAAACGGCGCGAGAAAGTAAATAATACGGGAAAGTAAATGGAAAGTAAATAATGCGGGAAAGTAAATGGAAAGTAAATAATGTGGGAAAGTAAATGGAAAGTAAATAATGCGGGAAAGTAAATAGAAACCTGCTCCAAACGGAAGGTCTTAAATCTGGTACAACTGGAAATAAAAGACTGGAAAGAAAGATAGTGGTAGGATTAACTTCTACCAGAGTGCTCCAAACTCGATTATAGACTCGATCGAACAATGTGATAACTCTCCGATGTGAGAAGTTTATCACTTTACAATACTGAAAATATATGGCTTGAGTTCTGTAACTAAGCTTGAATGCCTAGAAATAAACAAGAACTCATCTATTTATAGCCTAGCAAAAATACATGGAAAAACTAAAATGCCCCCCAACTTCTTTGGGAGGGAAAACATACTGCAAGGGTGGTGCCCACCATACTCTCATGGCGCCTGCCATGTGAACCAAGAGAGAAAGAAGTGGAGATCGTGGCAGTTGACAGCAGTTGACTCTTATCTAAGTCATGGCCTACCCTATGGCACCCCCCATGGTGGATGCCATGTGTACAATTTCCTCAAAAACTGGTCTTTCTTGCCCGTTTTTCTTCATTTCCTCGCGAGAAGCTCTGGTAATACAAAATCCTGGAAAAAAACAAAACAAAAGTATAACACAAGAAAATAGAAATAAAATCCTAAGAAACATGTGCAATTCGAGTCAAATACATAGTATGATTCAGTGTTATCAACTACAAAAAAAATGGTTTCCAACAATGTGTTTTTGCCACATGAAAATTACGTCTAAAAAAAGAATAATGCAAAGTGAAAATCACATGGCTAATCAGGTTTAAACATGTTACAATGTCTTTGTATTTGAGGAGAATTTTAAAATTTAAAAAAATTCATCCGTGTTACAAAAATCATGTGGCTAACTTTTTCTTCTTCCTTTTTCTTTTACTTCCCTTTTCACCTCTTTCTCCTCTTTTCTCCTATTCCTTTTCACAGAACATTTTCATCTTTTTCTTCATTTTTTGGAAACAAAAACATTCATTGAAAAAAGTCAAACTAACGTTGAATCGTGATAATTTTGGAAAATAGATCAACATGAGAAACTGATGCAATAGTTCCAATCATAGCAGAAACCGAACGACCAACAAAGATACAAGAATCAACTCTAAGTTTTTGTAAGTTCGTGAGTTAATCATAAGCATAACCTTCTAAAGTTGAGTAATCTTTGAAATCAAAATAATATGGGTTAGTTGTACCAACTTCCATGTTGTTGTAAAATATAACATGAAATTCCTCTAGGAGATGAGGTACGATACGTTTTCATACAGATTGATCTGTGCCAAATCTGTGAGCTAGAACAATGAATCGCGAACTTGATCCTAAATATGTGAGGTAGAACAATGAATCGCGAACTTGATCCTAAATCTGTGCAAACTTATCCTAAATATTTAGGATAAATATTAAAATAAAATAAAAATAGAACGCATAGAAATTAATCCTTATAAAAACACTTAAACAAATATTTGGCCCAACAAATTAAATTCACTTAAAATTTGTAAAAGTTAATTTTTACATAAATAATCATTTATATTGAATGTATATAATTATATCCTATACAAAAAACAACTCTTTTATTATTTATGTTGTATAATTTTAATCATATCAATTACATTTTAAATCAATTTATAATCAATCAGATAAATGATTATACAAATTTTAAAATTTTCTAATACAAAAATATGGTATGAGTTATAAAACACTTGATCAATTAAGGATTAACTTGCACAAACTGGTAAGTGTTTATTGGAAAGCTATTAAATTAATAATTTGAAACATTTACAATTTGCTAATTAAACTTTAACAACACAATCCAACGTTCGAATTATATAAAGACAATGTACTTTTGGAGTAAAACAAACCGTAAGCATCAATAAATCCAATTAATTCCTTCACTGTTCAACAAAGTGAACGTTTATTTGTCGTAGAGTCACTCTATTCTCACATGTTTTTGACCAAAATGTTGCAGAAAACAAGTGGATTGGTTTGAATCCAATAAAAGAACACCCCATAGGCCCACATTGAACATGTAGTGTAGAGTATATTTCATCGGACATATTGTACCGGCAACCCGTACAAACATAAAAACGGTCGTGTTTCTTTGGGCAACGTGTCATCATAATTCAGTGGGTCCCTCTCCCTTCCCATGATCTCCATCATCGTGCATATAAAAGGATACCTCTCTCTTCTATTCTCTCACACACCCACTCTCATTCATTCCTATCTTTCCCACCATGCATCGTTTACTCATTCTTTCCATCTTCTCAGTTGCAGCACTACTTGCAGTTGCAGATGGTAGTTACATTGGTGTAAACTATGGTCGCATAGCCAACAACCTTCCCTCAGCATTCAAAGTCGTTAACCTTCTCAAATCACAGGGAATCAACCGGGTCAAACTATACGACACCGACCGAGCTGTTCTCCGGGCATTATCCGGATCCGGAATCAAAGTAACCGTCAACCTCCCCAACGAACAACTCTTCTTCGCAGCCAAGAAACTCTCCTACGCACTCGCATGGCTCAACAGAAACGTCGTCGTTTACCAACCACACACAGTCATCGAAGCCATCGCAGTCGGCAACGAAGTCTTCGTCGACCCACACAACACCACCAAATACCTAGTCCCCGCCATGAAAAACATTCACAAAGCTCTTATCAAGAACAATCTCCATAACTCCATAAAAATCTCCTCCCCAATCGCACTCTCCGCTCTCGGATCCTCATATCCATCTTCAACTGGTTCATTCCAACCCGACCTAGTCGAACCCGTGATAAAACCCATGCTGGATTTCATCCGCGAAACGTCGTCGTATTTAATGGTCAACGTGTATCCTTTTTTCGCTTACGAGTCAAACGCTGACGTCATTTCTTTAGACTACGCTTTGTTTCGTGAGAACCCGGGTAACGTGGATCCGGGTAATGGGTTAAAGTATTTTAACATCTTCGACGCACAAATCGACGCCGTTTTTGCAGCACTTTCAGCTCTCAAATACGACGACGTAAAGATCGTTGTGAGTGAGACAGGGTGGCCTTCTAAAGGAGATAGCGATGAGGTGGGTGCGTCCCCAGAGAACGCTGCTGCCTACAACGGTAACCTTGTTAAAAAGATTCTGACTAACGGTGGGACGCCGTTGCGACCCAATGCAAATCTAACCGTTTATTTGTTCGCTCTTTTTAACGAGAATGGGAAAGTGGGACCTACGTCGGAGAGAAATTTTGGAATGTTTTACCCTAATATGGAGAAGGTTTACGATGTTCCGTTCACTGTGTAAGGATTAAAAGGAATGAAGAGAACCTAGTCGAGCTGAGATATTAGTTCTTATGTCTATCAGTTTGAAATTTGTTTCAATGGGTGCTGCATTGGATTGGATCATTAGTAATCTCGGATGTTAGTTTAAATTTGTTTGCATCAATTAAATTCATTTGTAACTAAAATTTGCTTTGCAGAGATATATTTTGTAATTCATACTAGAATGTTACTCATCGGCATTGGCATTATTATGTGTTGCAGTAATAAAATAGAGTTATTGACCATGAACATATGTTTTAATTCACACTACTTAGCTACAAGAGATGCTTGTCCATTTCTCAAATTTTGTAAGGCTGCTTTATGCTTGAAAACCTCACTATCCATGTGAGAATAATTTTCTTTAGGGAGAATATACTAGAATAGTTTCCTGAAAGGCTAGAAGAGGTTTTTCATTCATTTGATATAAAGCAATTCACGACTCATCATAAAATATATTTAGAAACAAATAACTTACATCACGCCCTCAAGCGGGCCCATCGTGTAAACAAATCTAAGAAATTTTTTAAATGAAATTTTTTATTTTAGGTTTAATTGCAATTTTGGTCCTCTTATTTTGTATTTTTTTTAGGTTTTAATTTTCCATTTTAAAAATTACTATTTAGGTCTCTATTTTAAGTTGAGTTCGATATTAGTCCCCTTGCTATTTTAAGTCATGTTTTTAATGATGTGACACGTTGAATGAAGATGTGACATTTCCATGTCATTTTAAAATGGTCTTATTCACCAAATATCATTTTAATATCATTTATTTTTTTGATTTTATTTTTCAGGAAATTAAGTTTAATATTATAAAACCCTAACATGTATTTTCAAACCCATTTCTTTAGCCATTTCTTCAAACTCAGTCCTCCTTTCCTCAACAAACTCATACCAGTCCTTCTTTAGTCATTAATTTCGAAACACATTACTTCAAAGTTTCTTCATACCCTTCTTCACAAACCCAACGTGTCTCCTACTTACCAACATATCTGGAACAAATTTTTCTTTTTCCTCAACAAACCAGTCTGGGTCTGGTATAAGAAGAAGAGGTAATAGATGTTGGTGTGAGCTTGAGTCACCATTGATGATGTCATGGACATACGATAATCCCAGAAGAAGATTTCATGGTTGTGGTAATTTTAAGGTGATGAGGAAAAACAAATGTAATTACTTTCAATGGTTTGATGAAGACATGAGCAATAATGCTAAAGATGTGATAAGATCTTTGAAAGACAAGAATGAGGAACTTTTGGATGTGATTAAGGACATCAAGAAAAATGAAGATTTGTTGAAGATGAAAATTTGGTTTATATATTATTTTGTGGGGTTATTTGTGATGTTTGTCTTTTTAATTGTGTTTGCATTAGTTGCAACACATGTACTCAAACGATGTAATGTCAACTGTTGTAGTTACTTTGATGTTTATGTATTTGCAAATGAAGTAATTTCAAATGAAGAGTTATGGTTGTCTATGTTAGATTTGCAGAAGTTATGGTTGCATTAGTTACAATTCATTTGTAGTTTTGAAATATAGTTTTCCTGAAGTAATGTAACAATTTATTTGAAATAAATAATTGCTAGTAATTGTAACTATTCGTTTATTTCTAAAGTAATGTACAATTCATTTATAGTTAACATTGTAATAATAAAGTAGAAGCATAACACTGGAACTGAAGTAGCATCATAACATTTTAATAACATATATGTTATTTTGAATAGATTGTAACTCTTCTAGTAACAAATTAAGGAACCATTGCCAAGAGTCTTTCGTTTCAGCTTCCACGACGGCATAAGCGATTGGATAAATCTTTTTATTTCCATACTTACCAACAACACCTATTAACTGACCTCCAAAGTCCCCTTTAAGAAAACAAGCATCCAGTCCTATTAGAGGTCTACAAGTCTTTGCAAATGCTGTCTTACAAGCTTCTAAGCATACATATATTCTTTCAAAGACAGAACCACCATTTGAATAATCACACTTAACTTTAACAGTGGAGTTTGGATTTGACTTTAACAACTCCTCACCGTAGCTCCTAAGATGTGTGAATTGTTCACGACCAGCACCTTGAATCAATTCCATTGCCTTTTTCTTGCCTCTATAAGCTTGATACTTTGATAACTTCACCCCCACTTCTTAATAGCTTTTGCAATCAGCCCTTTGGTTTTTTTTTAGGAGTGTGTCTTATAGTGTACACAAATTGGCGACCCAACCAATCCGTTTTTGCTTGTCTATTTTTGGTTGTCCTATAACAACTATGACGATCAGTTAAGTTAACAAGTTGCCAATATTGATTTGTAGTCCTCATGCTAAACCTAATATAAAATGGACAACCATCTAAACAATTGATTATAACCATTCTCTTCTTATCATTTTTCTTGAACACAAGATTCTTCTTGTTCTCCATTGCATACTCCTATATGGCATCTTTGATTTGCATTTTATCCTTGAACATCATCCTTACTTCAAGTTTTGTGGTTTCTCTAAAGATTGGAAACTTTGTCATATCACCTTCAACATCACTACCGGGTGGAGTTTGAAGCACATCTAAATCACTACCATTATCGGAATTACCATCCAACTTTGAAGGTTTTTCTGCTGTAGCATTAGGTAAAACGGTCTTCCAATTAATACCAACTTCAGCACCTAAATTCAACTCATCAATTTCATCTTCCAAATCTTTATCCTCTTCCTCGTCATCCTCACTGCCCATGCTATAATTTGGATCCGTTTCACTCTCTTCATCTACTTCATCCACATTAACGCTAACCTCTTCATCTACTCCACCAACACTAACCTCTTAATCTACTCCATCAACACTAACCCCTTCATGTACTCCATCACTATTAAACTCTTCATCTGCTCCATCATTTGCTCCCTCAACAGTAACTTCATCATTTGCTCCCTCAACATTAACTTCATCGTTTGCTCCCTCAATATTAACTTCATCATTTACTCCCTCAACATTAACTTCATTGTTTGCTCCCTCAATATTAACTTCATCATTTGTTCCCTCAACATTAACTTCATCGTTTGCTCCTTCACCATTGACTTTTTCACCATTATCCTCCTAAAAAATAACACCCTCAATACTTATTTCTTCAATTTTGTGTTCAACATAAATATCAAATACCTTAAATTCTCTAACATCCTCCATTAACCTTAAGACATTATTATCATTGTTCAGAGGCTGAAGTCTACGAGAAAAGGAAAATTTAGGATTCCAATACCATAAATACTTTATATTACAATACCCCTCACTTTTGATCAAATCTTCAATTTGCATATAAGACATCAAGTCCACATCCCAATCCCAATTCATTTCAGTTACAAGCCCATCAACATACAACAGAACTGGATTATGAACTAAATGTCCCCTATGGTGTACTCTAAATCTGACAGCTTGGGTATCAGAGGGCCTACAACAAAACATAAACAAATAAAAACATAGATAAAAACGGGACCACATCAAATTAAGACTACATGGTATAAACAAATCATATGCTATCACAAAATACAAACAATATTTGCGTGTTTAGGGTTTTTGAATTCAGAGTTGAGTTACGAAACATACCTCGACACATAACTTCGGTTTGCCATTTCAGAGACAAGCTAGCTACTACAGTGAAAACGGGAGTTGATTTGTGGTTTGATTTGGAACGACAACTGCAGAATCTTTAATTAGGATTTGTCTTCGTGCGTGAAAGGGGAAGAGTAAGAATCTTCATTCCTTAGTGTATCTTTCTGAAAATAATTGCAAATGGCTAAAAATTATTTGTCTCAAGTAATTATAATGTCTAATTTAAATTAATGTTAAAAAATAAATGACATGGAAATGATATTTGATGAATAAGACCATTTTAAAATGATATGGAAATGTCACATCTTCATTCAACGTGCCACATCATTAAAAAACATGACTTAAAATGGCAAGAGGACTAATATCAAACTCAAAACTTAAAATGGAGACCTAAATAGTGGTTTTTAAAATGGGGGGGGGGGGGATCAAAACTCAAAAAAATACAAAATAGGGGGGCCAAAATAACAATTAAGCCTTTATTTTACACACACACACACACACAAAGAGAGATCAATGTGAAATAATCTCCATGTTTCACAGGTCAACCTCGTACCACTGTTATAGTTATGAAATTTAAGAAGTTTTCCATTTTATCTTTCAACGATACTATTCATAATCTATTTAAAGAGGACAAAGGAATTGTGAAAGATAGAGAAGTAATATACAACAATGAAAAAAGAAGAACAACACCCATTACACTTATAGCTTTTCATTCGTATATTTTCTTAAGTGTAAACTCTGAAATTCATTTTGTGTATCTGCTTGTTAAAAAACATTCTTGTAAACACATAATCTTTGTATTATAACTATGTGTAAATTCCTTTAGGGATTAAGTTTAGTATGAAGCCTTAAGAAGTCATTGACAGTTGGTTTTTGAGTTTTCTCTTGGGGGACTAAGTTTAGTTTGTAGCCTCGAGAAGTCATTAACAGTTGGTATTTGAGTTTGTAATCTAATTGATTAGTGAAGTAAAACTTTGTGATTAAGTGAAATCACTCTAATGAGTGAACTGGACTAACTTAGTTAACAGTAAACCAGTATAAAAATTATGTGTATTTTTATCATTGTTATCCTTGTCATTAGTTTATGATTGGTTGGTAATTAGTTGTCATATCAGAAATCCAATTCACCTACTCTTTCTTGTGTTTCTTATACCTTTAACATGTATTTTTTTGACAAGTACAAAATTATACAAAGAATAAAACATCTATGATGTATCACAGGTGTTCTGGACTGGGCCGAGACTTGCCCCATGGTTGGCCAGGCCCAGCCCAGTACCACAATAGAGAGGCCCAACAAGACACAATCTTCCCCTGTCGGGTGTCATACCCCAAATTTGTCCTATCTGTGTATAGATTTCATTTGGTACTTCCATCCACCAATTGTCATTCAGAAAATCCAAAA